TGGATTCTTTGTTCAGTTTTGTGGAGGACAATTTTGTAATCTTAATTTCTTGGGATAATAGAAGCTGAAATGCACTCCAAGATAACGACATAGACATGATTTGGGTGTCATGTTAAAATGACTAGCTAGATGGATATGCCTTGAATTTGACATTTTTTCGAGAAGATTGATTGCTCAATATGAAGTATTTGAGGTGATTGTAACTTTTGTGAGCGGAGCCAGGTCGATCATTAGTTTTAAAAAAAAAACCAAGTCAATTTTCGAACCAAAAAATCATGCCCTTAATTACTAAGATAAAATATAAAATGCTTGGCTTTAGCCTCTCAATGTGTTTATATACTTTATTAACCTTCAAAATTGTGCACATGGTATAGTAATTAGTTGAGCCCGTGATGTTATGACGTGACTAAACTCTCTTCTACACCTAAGTTTATTGCTACATACCCCAGCTGTCCCTTTTTTTGGTTGTCTTTTCTGCTTTTTACGGTTTCCAAAACGTATATATCTTCATTTTCATAAGCGTAAAAAATATATAAAAAACATGCTAGTAATAAAATATATAGTGAGACGAATCTAACAAGATCTCACATAACTATATTATCTCTTATAAGGGTAATTTATAGTCAAAGTATTCAAAATTTGACCAAAAAAATGACAATGGAGCGAAAATACAGGATTAGAGGGAGTATGATTTTGTTATATGATATTTAGCAATGTTATTTGACTTCCTAAAAATGTAAATTTTTCTAACTTGCATTTTTTTCCTTTTGGTAAATCGGTTTTTTTTAGGAGATAGCCATTAAGGCATTGAATATGTAGTTGGGGTAAATTTTAATCAAAGGATAGTGTTTCCTAAATATGAAGAGTTTTCGAAGATTTGGTCTTCATTACCAATTTAAAAGATATAGGCCCCGTTCACTTCACCTTACTTTTGTTGAACTGAAATTTTTTTACTGAACTGAAATTAATTTTACTGGACTGAAATTATTTTTGCTGAACTGAAATTATTTTTACTGATTTTCTATTATACTTTTTGTTTAAAGTTACTGAATTTTTACCGAACTAAAATTATTTTTACTGAACTGAACTTATTTTAATGAACTGAAATTATTTTTACTGAATCTTGTTTTTTTAATGTAAGGGCCATAGCCTTAGAAAAAATCAAGTTTTATATTGAGCATCTTTACTTATCCTATCTTATTACTTCCTCCCTTCTTGAAAATGAGTTACATATGTGATTTAAGTGTTCCCCTTTAATAGTTATGTTTCAATTACTTCCTAGATTTTTTTTTTTTGAATACATTTCCCTCATGTATATTGTACCTACTTTCCAGGCAACTATCTCCACTTATCAAACCACTTGCACACTTCCAATATAACTTCTTCTATTAACAAAAATATTTACATACTCTCCCAATGCAAATATTCTTATTTTCAAGCTAATTTAATGCATTAATACTTGATATATGACATCTAATCATTGCTTTCCATTATCCTATTTTCCTTATTAACCGTTTAAAACCACCAAATTAAACGTGACTTTGTTTCCGAATTGAGGGAGTAGATTGCATTCCACTATTATTAATTGGGTTGCTATCCTCAGATGAGCATTGGTCGAGCTGAGCGTACTCGAGAGTCATTATATCATGTTCACTTACTCATTTTACCAATTCAACCAATGGTCTAGAGGGGGATAGATTGTCATTTGTCATGTATATCTCTGTATATATGTTATCTTAACCTTGTTTATGAGAATGATCTCTTGGACCAGTGCCCAATGAGTATTGAGCCTCGCACCTCATTGGGCACAAATCGCATCCCCTTACCCCTCCGGGCATTGCCAACTAGGTTTCTTGTGATAGGAGAGGGAGATGGTTGTTTAATCTAAACAATACAATAGAGTAAGCAGGGTCGAATTCATCATGCTTATAGTTTTAAATCTATTAAAAATCAATAACAATTCAATCAATAAATTATCTACAGTAATTGCTAAGCCTACGGTCGGGTCTTAACACTCTCAATTCAACATATGCAGTACGATTGCTAACATAATCAGAATTGCTAATTATAGGTAAGTCTCTAAAAGTAATATCTTTCGATTTAAACTCTTATTAACTATAATTAATCAAACAATTGATCAGGTTGCAAGATTAACAATAAAATGCTATCAATTAGAGAAATCAATAATCAAAATATCAATAACATCAATCAAGATTCATAGCAAAAACATGGATTCCCAAACCCTAGAAATAAACTACTTAAACATGAAATAAATTAAAACTAAATCTAATAAAGAAATCATAATTAAATGAAAGAAATAAAAAAACCTTAATGAATCAATGTAACTAACTCAAGAGCAATCCATGGAATTGTCCAAAAGAAACTATGGCTAGAGAGAAAACTAAAAGAAACGTAAAACAATAATAAAAAGCATAATTAAGGAGAAAAAAAGTCTCCTTGAGTATTTATAATTCCTAAAATTCTAATCTAAAATAAATAAAGAAAAGAAATAAGAAAATAAAAATTACACAAGTTGTCAAACGATTGGACGATAAAAGATGATGTGGCACGAAGATGCTCGATAAAGACGGCCAACCGACCCAAGAACCAAGCCTTAACGGGCAACCATGATGGTGCATATATGTTGGCACGTTGGGCTTCAATAAGGCATCGTTGGATATATGAGCTATCGTTCGGTGCTTGCGTGAAGGAGTACAAGGGCGAGCTATAACTCGTTCTATAGCTGGCGAGTGAGCTCTCGCTCAGGGCAGCTGTTGCTTTCGGCATATGCGAGCTAGCTCGCGAGCTCTCGCTCACTCGCTGTTGGGCATAGCGTCAAATTTATAGGCTTGTAAATTTTGATTCATAAGTTGTATATAGACATATGACCTACTGTTGGAAAGATTTTCAAGTCTAGTTCCCAATGCAACTTAAATCACTTAAATGAGATATGTAGAACTCAAGTTATGATCAAAAGAGAGAACAAAGGTCAGTTTTAGCATATCATTCATCATCGCTTAACTTCGTTTTCAATTCGGAAAGGCACATAGTGACCCTTGTGAATGCTATGTTCATTTTCCATTCACACAATAATTAAAATCAACATCCACAAACATGGGATCTTCGATTAATAAACTCAATTAATCGACTTTCATCCAAATATCATCCGAATCAACTCCAAACACTTCGAAAACGTCCAAATGACTATAAAATCACTTGAAACATTAAGAAAAACACAAGTGAAGCGTAATAGAGCACAAAACGGACAACTTATGCATTTACAACCTAAGAAGCGGCAAAAAAGTCCTAAAAAGCAACTATAAAACTAGCATAAACGTTCCTATAAATCCTATATAAATGTGATTCATCACTTAATTAACCCTCGATTATTGTAGACTCGGTCTTGCGTGTCTTATTATTACAAAAAAACTCTAGTTATCAAGATATTTCTTTACACAATTAGGACGACAAACCCATCAAAATTCACAATTTTTGGGTGCACTTGTAAACACCACGATTTTTTTTGTGTTCCTGAAATTTCAAATCAATAGCATGATGTTTAATTAACAAAAATAACCATAGGTTTGAAAATAACACAACAATGAACAAATTAACATAGGTTTTAAAAGGAGTTCCCTCTAAGGTATTAATTGGGAAAATTTTTCTGGTTTTACTAGAGTTTTTTCTTTGGGAGGGTTAACCTCCATTGTTATACAAAATATATTTTTATTTTCTTTAAAGGTTTTCCTTCACTTTTATTCCTTTGGGTCATTACAAAAATATGATAAATGGATCAAATTGAGTCGATTTCGGGTTGTTAGGGTCGGATCGAGGTTGGGTTCTCTCTTATTAACTCGGGTATCGGGTCGGGTCATATTATCGAGTTGGGTTAAGAACTCAGATTTATATGGAACCATTGTATCATACTCCATAATAATTGGGAAGGTGATTTGGATTCCTATGGGTCTGGGGTTTGTCAACAACTTTTCGATCATTACGAAGGTCTCTACTTTGAAAGATGCAAAGACATCGAAAATCATTGCTTGCGTCAAGTTTGAAGCGGTGGAGTATGAGGTATGCCAAATATGGAAACTAGTTATGATTTTGATGGTAAAAGTTATGATATTTTCTCTAAATCTATGGTTTACAGATCTTTATTATTATAGATGCCGTATGTCTATTATTTAATGATATTATTATATCAAAAAAAGTAAAAAATAAAAAAGATAATAATCAAAATACTCCATATTAAGATAATCAAAATTTTGTATTTTCATTTTTTTTATGTAGTAATATTTTAACAAAATCCCTAAATTTAGGATTTATTTAAGGAAATTTTCACTTTTGCTACTACTCAAACACCCCAATTTTACTTTTGTTACCCATCAAAAATTTTATTTTATTTTTCTACCACCTAAAATCACATAAGGTAAATTCCACTACCACTTAACACTTTCAATTACTATTTCCGTTAGTGAAATCCAGCCACCCACACTGTCACCTTCTGGCCACCCTCCTTCCTCATCCGCCCTAACTACCTCCCCGTCAGCCACCAAAAATTTAAAAAAAAAAATTAAAAAAGCTTAGCCCCTCCCCATCAGCCACCCCTCCCCATTTACAGCTGGCGCTCGGTACATCTTCTCAATGGTGCACAGGATTTCCCCCACCGTCGTTACCCTAACCCAACCTTTCAGCCACCGTTCCATCCCTTACTCCTCTCAACTACCCATGACAGCTCTTCCCACCGCACCACCATTACTCACCTTCAACCTCTCGCAACACCACCAAAATGCGCCGCTACTGCTGCTGCTCCTCCTTTTGAAAAAGTCGCCCCACTCCCTAGCACCAAAAACCGACACCTCTAACCCTAAACCACCAGCCTGAAACCACCATAAATAGGATTTAGGGTTTCGTTTATGGTGGTGTTGGGCTGGTGTTTAAGGGTTAGGGGTGGCTGTTTTGGGTGGGGAAAGGGGAGGGGGGCCGATTCCGGTTGGGGGGATGGGGAAGGAGGGTTGTTTTCCGATTTCGGGGTGGGGGTTGGGGCAGTGAGAAGGGGATAAGGGAGGGGGGTGGGCTGCGTAGGTGGAGGAAATGGAGGGGGATTGGAGTCATCGGCGCCGGGCGACGCTTTGGGCGCCGACAGGGGGAAAGTGGATGATGGGAGGGGGCTGGCAATTGAAGGTGGTGGCTGGGTTTTTCTTTTAAACATTTTAATTTTTTTTTATTTATTTTTGAATAAACTTAACGGAAGCAATTTTTAACAAAATTGTTTTTGTATGATTGTAAAATAAAATTAAAATTTTTTCCGATAGTAAAAGTGAAATACCTGTGTTTTGCTGGTAGCGAAAGTGAACTTTTCCTTTATATAATCAACAATCATCCAAATTGCTAAGAGTAAGACCTTCCATTGCAAGTAAACAACTGACCCCACCAACAATAACAAACACGCTTTCAAAAACACTTCCTCCCTCCACTAACACAATTCCCAACGGTCATTTCCTTTTCCCCAAATTCAATCACATAAACCCTAATAAAATAACACCTTCTTCCCCACCAATCTTCGTTACCGTTTCCCCTTTTTTCTGTTCATTTAACGCTCCTCCATTTTCTCTCTCCTCCCCAATTCTTGTCTGAAACTTCCAAAACATGATAATTCTCAATTAACACAAACAAATTTGCTCTGAAAACTCAATTTTCGTCGTTTTTCTTCCCTTTTTTTTTCAATCATCTTTTTTCACTGTGTTTTCTTACAATGGGTTGTTTTCTTGGGTGTTTTGGTTCTTCCAAGGATGAACCAAAGCGTCGGAAAAATACCCATTTCGTTTCTCATCAAAACCCACCAACTCAGGTTTGTAAGCTAATTCTTTATAATCTGTCGATTTTTTTTTTCTTTTTTGTTGATTATTTGATTTATTTTCTTTGTTTGTTGTAGGATGTTCGAAATCAGTATAATCCTGTTTATCCTACTCCCACTTCATTTCCAAATCGAGAACTTGTTGGCAAACCAATTGATCTTCAAGTTCCCAAATCTTGGTGAGTTCCCCCCTTTTCTAGGGTTTATGATCATATTCGCTTAATTTTGTTGCTTGAACTTCACCTTCTTGTCAATATTTTGGTACAATATCGTAAAGGGTTTCTGTATCATATTAGGGTTTTTATTTTATTTTGTTTTACTGTTTTTCATTATTTGGGGAAGGGGGTGAGATATTGTGTTAGTACTAATTTTTGTGGGTTTAATTAATTTTATGTCTAGTTGCTGTCTGTATTTTACTAGTGATTTTGTTGTTAATTTGCAATTGTTGGTTTTTGATTATGATTGTGTGCTGTTTATGTTCTGTAGTATTAAGAATAAGATAGAGGAGAAGGAACAACTGAGCTTAACTAATAAGTAAGTGTTTGGGTCTTTCTCTGTCCCCCCCCCCCCCCACATAATTTGATCCAAAATGATACTGGTTTCGGTTTGTTTCCTTCTTTTTGTTGGGTTTGCAGTGTTCTAATTAGGTTTTGTGGGTTATTGTATATAGGAATAGGCTGGAGGATCAATTGAGCTTGGGGACACATAAGAAAGTTATCTTTGATTCAGATGTTAAGCCAGAGGAGCAGTTGAGCTCGGGGTCACAAAAGAAAGTCACCTTCGATTCAGATGTTAAGCCAGACGAGCAGTTGAGTTCGGATTCACGAAAGAAAGTCACCTTTGATTCAGATGTTAAGCCAGAGGAACAGTTGAGTTCAGAGTCACAAAAGAAAGTCAGCTTTGATTCATATGTTGAGCCGGAGGAACATTTGACTTTGGGGACAGTAAACAAAGTCGGCTTGGACTTAAATGTTAAGTCAGAGGAACAATTGAGTTCTGGTGTACGAAAGAAAGTCACGTTCGATTCAAATGTAAGGCCAGAGGAACAATTGAGTTCGGGCACACGGAAGAAAGTCACATTTGATTCAAATGTTAAAGAATATGAGCATATATCCTATGGTGAGCCACCAGAGGTTGTGGAGGAAAGTGAGCTAGGAGGTGAGAAAGTGGTTGATGAGTGTAGTACGAAACCAACCAATTCATCTTCTATATCTGAAGGTAATTCGACTTTGTCCAGTTTGGGGTCATTCCCTCCAAATAACAGGTATCAAAATTGTAGAGAGAGTGATGATGAGGACGAAGAACTTGACTGTCAAGTAAGTGATTTGGAAGACGATGGAGATGATGATGATGAAGAAGAGGTCTATGATGATGAATACAGTGATGATGAGTATCATCTGAGACAAGTCCATGACTTTTCTTGTTCATCTGTGGAATCAAGGACTAAAAGTTCTGGAACATGCTTTGTCAATGATGGGCTCAATGATCATATGGATCTTGATTCTTTGGAGAGAGACGCTGAAACTCCTGTAGTGTTCAACCGTGGTGCTCGAGACAGGGCTGGCTATGTTCATTCAGTGTTAAATCCTGTTGAGAACACAGCTCAATGGAAATATGTAAAAGTAAAAGGACCACCGCTCATGAAAGAGCAGAAGGAGAATTGTCTAGTGGATCTAAGTTTTCAACACTCTTCATCAAAGTCTAAAGCAATATCAGATGAACCTAAACATGAAGTAGCAGTTGATGCCAGCCTTTCTACATGGATAGTTTCCTCTCAGAAAACACCACCTGGCAAGGCTGCACCCATAAACATGGAACCAATATTATCTGGGGCAAGTGCATTTTCATCACATGGTTCTAATTCTGTGAGAAGTCAGGGGGAAAGACCGATTTTGGGCGCACTAACATTTGAAGAGCTTAAGCAATTCTCTGCCATTTCTTCCCCAAGAAAATCACCTAGTCGAAGCCCAGATGAGAGGCCATTACTTGGCACAGTTGGGGTGCACTGGAATGACAGAACTCCTGTTGAGGACTCTGGTTCAGTCTCTTCGTTTAAAGGGATACCAAATACTACAAGAAAATATAGAGAGGTATACATGTAATGAGCTTACGGGATCTGTTTTGCCCATGAATAAATTCTCAGGGTACTGATGGATTCTACAATATTGCAGGATAACAGGGTGAATTGGCATTCTACTCCTTTCGAAACTAGGCTGGAGAGAGCTTTGAACAAAGGTGCTGCTGAGAATCATGCTAGCCGTCGTGTGTGTTTATAGAGCGTATATGGTTTCCTTATTATTGGGACGGGAAAGTATATGTGAAATACTGATATCCTTGAAAATGTGTTGATTTTCTTCATTTGTTCCTCTTGCTTTGTGATATATATTAATATATATATGCTGCAAATACGTCATACTGTGAATTTTGCTGAGGTTGTCATTTACCACTGTCTCTGTGTGTGTGTGGAGTGGTAAATACGCCTATTAGTTAGTTGTAATTCTTCATTGGTTTGTTAATATAGACAATAATGTAGAGTGCAAATTGTCTGGTTTGATAATTTTTTTTCTTCAATTTTTTTGTTTGCTGTTGCAGTACAATCCTCTGTAACTGTCTGTACTCTATAGTGAATGTTTCTATTTGTACTCGAATTCAGGTAGATTTGACACAGATACATTTGGTCTAATTGTAAGATTGGGGTTTATAAAAAAATAAAAATTCCAAGATCTTGGTTTGTGGAGATGAGGGTGTAGTTAGAACACTTAGACGTAGTTGTGGAGGATGTTTTAACACTCGTAAACAATGATAATTGAGCAGCTTTTCCTTCCAACACTCACTTCAAAAGTGTTGAGGATCCAACACGAGTACTCGTGGTTGAATACAGGGTCTAATACTCACTTCGAAGTGTTGAGGATGCAACACGAGTAATCATGGTTAAATACAGGGTCTAATACTCACTTCGAAGTGTTGAGAATCCAATACGAGTACTCATGGTATTTACAGGGTCTAAGGAGTATACAACAATTAAATATTTCTCGACTTTGAGATTTATGTATGAACATGAGGTGCTCTCTTGTTAATAGCTGCCGCTTGTTAACTTTTGAAGACTATTTTGTCCTCACAAGTCTTATCTATCCAGCTATTCTTCATATTTTAATTAAATGTAAATGCTTATTAGGGAACATTTGGTAAAAAGGTTGACTTTTTTTTTTTGGGTGTAAAATCAACTTGGCTCAATTTAATTCCGGCTCAACTGTCAAACAATTAATCAACTTAGAAAAAAGGCATAATTTTGGACTTATAATGCCATGAAATTTGGATGATGGTTTGTAGTTTCATACCTAAATTACTCATCGAATCAATTATGGTTGTATTATATATTAAGTATAAGATCCTCTCTTCTTGAATTGACGGTTTGAATATGCATGATGGAAAATAAGAACATCTTTTGAAATTTTATTTATTTATTTTTATTTATTTATATATTATATTTAGTGTTTTAATCTTAAGATATAAAATAATGAAAAAAAACTAGTAATAACTAACACGAATATTATTTTATGAAATGATATGACCATTAGTAAAAACTAGAGTCAAAGTTATTAGCACGAGTCGTATGTTGTTGATGGCTAAGGCTAGATGAAGTTTTGGTTCTGTAAGAAGTGCCAAAACATTATATAGTTCGAAAAGTAAGTAGCAAACAAGTCTTAAATGGCATAAGCCTACATTCCCATATTTTTAGATCTAGATTAAAACAGGTTATACTAACCTTTGCTGAACATAAATCAAAAGAAGAGACGGTCAAAGAAAATTGCAACTTGACAGTATTTATATTATCACACAAGTAGATCTTTTAGCAATTCAAGGTCTATGAACATGATAAATGTCATTTATCATACAGCATAGTTGAAAATTTTATTTTATATAATATAAGGATTACATCAGTCAAATTGAACATGCATGAATACTATTCTAAATTCATCTTTAAATTCAAACCCAGAATTTATTTGTACCAAAAATAAGGGGAACAAAAAAACCCATTTCTTTTTCTTTTGTTTCTTCAAATGGGTCACAAAATAATTCTGATTTCTTTCATATTTTTAGCCCTGAAATTTGGTTCAATTTCAGAAGCAACATTGACTGAAGCACAAGCACTTATCAGGTGGAAAAATTCCTTATCTCCTGTACCTGAATCTCTTCTTTCATGGAGACTTTCAGATGCACAAAACCTCTGTAATTGGACTGGCATTGTCTGTAACAATGTTACTTCTGTCAGAAACATCAGTTTAAGCAGCCAAGATCTTTCAGGAAATCTCAGAAGCTTCAACTTCAGTGCATTTCCAAATTTAGAAAGTTTGGTTCTTGACAGCAACAATCTTGAAGGTCAAATCCCATTAACTGTTGGTAATCTTTCTAAGCTTACTTACTTAGATCTTAGCACCAATTACTTTGATGGGTTTATTCCTCAAGATGTCGGTCGATTGTCAGAACTTGTGTATCTTAATCTGTCTAATAATAATCTAAGAAATACCATTCCTGTTGAACTTAGTAGTTTGAGGAGATTAAGGTTGCTAGATATTGGAGCTAATTATCTTGAAACTCCTGAGTGGTCTATGTTTAGTCCTATGCCTTTGTTAACCCACTTGAGTTTTGGGCTTAATGAGTTAACTGGGGAGTTTCCTAGGTTCATTTTTAGGAGCAGGAACTTGACTTACCTTGATTTGTCTTTTAACCATTTAATTGGGTTGATCCCAGATTCTCTTTTTACTAGTCTTCCAAATCTTCAGTACCTTGATCTTACTAATAATTCATTCAGTGGACCAATATCAACCAACATTTCCAAGTTATCAAGTCTAACTGAGCTTCATTTGGGCTTAAACCACCTTTCTGGTACAATCCCTGATGATATCGGTTCGATCTCTGGACTCAAAGTTATTGAGCTGCATAGTAATCTTCTTTCTGGTAGCATACCTTCTTCCATTGGCCAACTTAGAAGCCTTGAGAAATTCGATGTTCATTCGAACAGATTGAACTCTAGTATTCCCTCTGAGCTTGGCTTATGTACAAACCTTACTTTTTTTGCTGCTGCTGGGAATTCACTAACTGGGGAATTGCCATTGTCCTTGAGCAATCTTAGGAAAATATCAGCTCTTGGTTTATCTGAAAACATTCTGTCTGGTGAAATTTCCCCTTATTTCCTTAGCAATTGGACCGAGTTGGTTTCCTTGCAAATCCAGAACAATAATTTCAGTGGGATTGTTTCACCAGAACTAGGTCAACTGTCAAAACTTCAAGTTCTTTTCCTTTACAATAACAGTTTCACTGGTACTATACCCTCAGAGATAGGTAAACTGCACAACCTGGTAGATCTTGATCTTTCGACAAACCAACTTTCAGGATCAATTCCTTTAACTCTTGGAAACTTAAGCAACCTCTCGACCTTACAACTATTCTCTAACAATCTCACTGGAAGAATCCCACCAGAGATGGGAAATCTCACGTCGTTGACTGTTCTTGATATAAATTCTAATCAACTCTATGGCGAGTTGCCTGAAACCTTATCACACCTCACAAATTTACAAATTTTTTCTGTGTTCACCAACAATTTTACAGGGGAAATCCCACAAAATTTTGGTGAACATAGCCTTTCTCTTACCAATGTTAGCTTTTCAAACAACAGTTTCTCTGGGGAATTGCCTCCTAGGTTGTGCAGTGGATTCAAGCTTGAGCTCTTAACAGTTAATGGCAACAACTTCACCGGCAAGGTTCCTGATTGTTTGAGGAAATGCACAGGGTTGATTAGAGTCCGTATGGATGGAAATCAGTTTAATGGGAATATATCAGAAGCATTCGGTGTATACCTAAACCTCACTTTTATCAGCCTAAGCAAAAATCAGTTTGTTGGTGAAATCTCACCCAAGTGGGGAGAATGTGGAAATCTGACAAACTTCCAGTTTGACAGTAACAAACTTACAGGGGCAATACCAGCAGAGTTTCAGAAGCTGCATATTTTGCGTGTTCTAACTCTTGATTCAAATGAACTAAGTGGGACAATACCTGCTGAACTGGGAAATTTAAGTTTGTTGATCAACCTTAATATGAGCAGGAATCACTTGGAAGGAGATATTCCGAAAAGCATAGGCAAGCTGCAGAATCTTCAGTATCTTGATTTATCAGCAAATAATCTTTCAGGGGAAATCCCTCGAGAACTTGGGGATTGTGGTAGCATACTGAGCTTGAATTTGAATCAGAATGGCTTATCAGGGAACATACCAGAGGAGCTCAGCAACTTGGGTCAAATTCAAGTTATGTTGGATTTGAGCAGCAACTATCTTTCTGGTCCGATCCCTCAAGACCTTGACAAGCTCAATTCCTTGGAGAAACTCAATCTCTCCCATAACTCTCTTTCAGGGGCAGTCCCACCATCACTATCGAACATGCTTAGCTTACAATCTCTCGATTTATCCTACAACAACTTGTCAGGTTCAGTCCCCAGTGGAAGATTTTTCCAAAATGGGTTGTACATGGGAAATTCTGGCCTTTGCGGAAATGCAACAGGAATACCCACCTGTGATCGCATCAGGTCTCACAACAACCACAAAAAAGTTGTTATTGCTGTTGTGGTACCAATTGCCTCCCTTCTCCTGCTTGTAGTTTGTGTAGTTGCATCATTGTTATTTTGCAGAAAGATCAAACAGAGAGATATGGAGAGCAAAACTTTTTCAGACACAAGCGATTCAGAGTCTTTGATATGGGGGACAGAAGGAAGATTTACCTTCCGAGAAATTGTCAAGGCCACTGATGACTTCAGTGAATTTTACTGCATTGGGAAAGGTGGTTTTGGAAGTGTATATAGGGCATCTTTGATGTCAGGTCAGCTGGTTGCTGTCAAGAAGCTTAACATGTCAGATTCTAGTGACATCCCCTTGGCAAATAAAAAAAGCTTCGAGAATGAGATAAGGGCATTGACTGAGGTTAGACACCGGAATATAATCAAGTTATATGGTTATTGCTCTAGAAAGGGCTCTATGTATTTGGTCTATGACTATGTTGAAAGGGGCAGTTTGGGAAATGTGTTGTACAAGAAAGAAGCCAAAGAAGGACTAGGGTGGGAAAGAAGAGTGAATACTGTAAGAGGATTAGCTCATGCAGTCGCTTATTTGCACCATGATTGCACCCCACCTATTGTTCACCGTGACATATCCATAAACAATGTCTTGCTTGATGATGAATTTGAGCCGCGACTATCAGATTTTGGCACAGCAAAGATTCTCAGCACGGATGCATCTAGCTGGACCACAGTTGCTGGTTCATATGGATATATGGCCCCTGGTAAGTCTCAAACCTGTCTTCAATATTCACCGACTCTTCAAATTCTAACAATCCTAATCTTGGATTCTTTTGGTGAAATTTCTGAAGATTACTTTTTTTCATATGTATCTAGCATAACCTGTTCAGTCTAGGTAATATCGATATACACATAATCATTATGTGCACTTGATATTGGTACACCAAAACTTATGAAGATTTTAATCTTCACTATAGAATTGGTATTTCATATTTGGTCATATTTCTGCATCTGACAATTATTGAAATAGGCCTCTGAAGATTATTCTATCATATTAGTCATATATGCTCGGTGTTTGGTAATAATTGTCTTGGAAATCTAGATTTTGAAGACTATACTTTACTCATTATTTGTTTGGTTTTTTTGTGGTTGAACATATTCTTGCATCTGATATAAATAATCTTATCATTCTTTCCCCTTTGCAGAGTTGGCTCTGACAATGAAAGTGACGGAAAAGTGTGATGTTTATAGCTATGGAGTGGTGTCACTAGAGGTTATGATGGGGAAGCATCCAGGAGAACTTCTAACCTCATCATCGTCTGTAGCTGAGAAGCAGGAGGCCCTACTGAAAGACATTTTAGACCAAAGTCTCTTACCACCTACAGGACATACAGTAGAGGAAGTGGTAACTGCAGTCACATTAGCTCTATTATGCACTAGTACAGAGCCAAATTCGCGACCTACAATGCGTTATGTTGCACAAGAACTCTCTGCTCGGACACACAATTATCTCTCTGATCCCTTTGAAAGTGTAACACTAGGCAAACTGAATGCTAATCATCCAAGATGATCAATTGAAGAGCTGACGACAATTTAACTTGCTGAATCTCTCTTACGAGTTTTTGAGTTGATTACTTGTTATATAAACACTCAGTTTCAGATAGAGCATACAGAAAATTATGTATATTTTGCATTTTTGCAACATACATATTACGTTGTACATATGATTTTACTCTTTGTATATATACTTATTCATTTCGAAGTATAATGAATTTTATTGGCCGATCCTCTCCTTTTTTGCTATACTATACCTTTTTCTTTCCGTTTTCTAGGCTTTAGAAAGAGTTATTGTATTAATGATCAATGAGTTATTGTATTAATGATCAATGAGTTATCGTGTTAAGCTATGTTACTCGGATTCGGACATTCATGTCCGACACGGATACGTGTCCGAGTGTCTGACTCGGCTATTTTGTGAATTTTTTTAAATAAAGTGCCCAAGTGTCATACGCATATCAAGATATAGAGGATATGACACGAGTAATTGAGGTAAAATGAAAAGTTCGAGTAACATAAGTTATTAAGTGTTATTTTAAGATGTTAATGAATAAGATAAGAGTAAACATATATATTTTTTTAAAAAGGGCTTTACAAAATTTTGGCCTTTTATTTCTTGGGGCCCTGTGCAATTGCCTTTGTTGCACACCCCCACATATGGCCATGGATCAATTATGAATTTTTTAATATTTGTAGACTAATCTATACGAGTACTATCATAAATTCATAACAGCACACCAACAAAGACTTTTGTTGATTGGACTTAACTCCTACTATGTACGACTACATATGAGTGACTCAGAGTAGTCAAACTAATACTACCTCATTTTCTTATTATACAACAAAGATATTATTTGTGAGATATAAAGAACAAGTTGAGGTTTTGTAAAAAATAAAAATAAAAATCGAAGGTAGTACAATTCTTGTACTAGTATATTAACCATATAAGGAGTTACAAAAATCCAAGTTCTTAAAAACCAAGCTCCCAATCTTTTGGAATTCAAGCCTCTTTGTTACTTCACCATAAAGGATAGTAAGCTGTACTTCCTGTGAAGTCGAATCATGGCAAAACATCAGCTTTTCTTTCTTTGCTTCTTTTTTCTTACACAATATTTAACTCTAACATCAGCAAAAACAACAGCAGAAGTTGCACTAGTCCGTTGGAAAAACTCCTTGTCTGATCCTTCTTCACTCAAATCATGGAGACTTTCCGATGCCCAAAGTCTTTGCAGCAACTGGACTGGCATTGTCTGTGACAACCTTAACTCTGTCACCAACATCGACCTGAATAATCAAGGCCTCAGCGGCACACTCAGCACCCTTGACTTCAGTGCATTTCCTAGTCTTACAAGCTTATCCCTGAATATCAACCAGCTGCAGGGTCAAATCCCACCAAGCATTGGTAATCTTTCTCAACTTACTCACTTAGACCTCAACAGTAACTTGTTTGTAGGTGTTATACCTGCTGAAATCGGTCAGTTATTACAGCTCGAGTATCTTAACCTGTATAATAATGATATAGCTGATGCAGTTCCTGTTGAACTTAGTAAATTGTTGAGGTTAAGTTACTTAGATATTGGATCAAATAAACTTAGCAGTCCTGATTGGTCAAAGTTTGCTACGATGCATTTGTTGACCCACTTGAATTTTGGATACAATAATTTTAATGGAGAGTTTCCAAGTTTCTTATCTAGCTGCAGGAACATGACTTACCTCGATCTCTCAAATAATAAATTTAGTGGGGTGATCCCAGAATCCTTTTATACCAGCCTTCCTAAGCTTCAGTTTCTTGATCTTAGTTATAATTCGTTTTGGGGGCATATCTCACCTAATATATCCAAGCTTTCTAGCCTAACTGAACTTCATCTGAGCTCAAATCATATTAATGGTTCCATCCCTGAGAGCATTGGCTCAATTTCTAGCCTCAAAGTTGTCGAGTTGTTCACTAATGCACTCACTGGGAGGATTGCTTCTTCGATAGGCCAGCTTAAGAACCTCAATGGTCTTGATCTTCGTTGGAATGGATTGAATTCTATATGATTCCTTCTGAGCTTGGTTTGTGTATGAACCTTACTTATCTGTCTCTTGCTTCGAATTCTCTCATTGGAGAATTACCTTTGACCTTGTCGAATCTTAGAAATATATCAAAGCTTGACGTGTCTCAAAATCACCTGTCTGGGGAGCTCTCCCCATATTTCTTCACTAATTGGACTAAATTGACTAGCTTGTTACTTCAAGACAATAAGTTCAGTGGGATTATACCCCTAGAGATTGGGAATATGAAAGCTTTGGAAAATCTTGACCTCTCAACAAATCAACTGTCAGGTCCAATCCCTCCAACTATTGGGAAACTTGGCAATCTTTCTGTCCTTAATCTTTTCTCCAACAGACTCAACAGAACAATACCGTCAGAGATTGGAGGTCTCACCTTCTTGACTGACCTTGTTCTGTATTCCAACCAGCTCCATGGGGAGTTGCCAGATTCCTTGGTTCGTCTTAAAAACCTATCTACATTCTCAGTCTTCTCTAACAAACTTTCAGGGAAAATATTAGCTGAGCTTGGGAAGTTGCAGTACTTGCAGGATCTAAATCTTGAGGGGGAAAATCCCTGATGAACTAGGGGACTTAAGCTCCTTGAAAACACTTAACCTGAGCAGTAATTACTTAGTTGGGGATATTCCCCAAAGCATAGGCAATCTGCAAGATCTCGAGTATCTTGACCTATCAGCAAACAATCTGTCAGGAGGAATTCCTGAATTGCTTGGAAATTGTTATGATTTAATAAGCTTGAACTTGAGTCACAATGCCTTATCAGGCAAGATACCATCACAACTCAGACACTTGGAAGAGCTTCGGTTATTGTTGGACCTTAGTAGCAACTCCTTCTCAGGTCCGATTCCACAGCTTGACAAGCTTGTATCCTTGCTAGTCTTGAATCTTTCCCATAATCATCTCACAGGGAGGATCCCACATTCACTATCTAAGATGATTGGCCTACAGTTCCTCGATATTTCCTACAATAGCCTTTCGGGTTCAGTTCCTAGCGACAAAATTTTCCAACGTGGGTTGTTCATAGGAAATCCTGATCTCTGTGGAATTGCGTTAGGATTAACCTCCTGTGACCACAGGTCCCACAAAAAGCACAAGGATGTGCTAATTGCAGTCATTGTACCAGTTGTTTCCCTTTTGCTTATTGGAGCATGTGTAGTGACACTGTTGTTATGTTGCCCAATGAAAAAGCAAAATAGTGCTTATACAGGAAGCAAATATATGGGTAATTTGGAGTCTCTTATATGCAGGATGGAAGGAAGATTCAGATTTGAAGATATCATACAGGCTACCAATGATTTTAACGACACCTATTGTATTGGGAGAGGTAGGTTTGGAAGTGTATATCGAGCATCTTTGTCATCAGGTCATACTTTTGCTGTTAAGAAGCTCAATATATCAGAATCTAGCAACTTTCTCTTGAAAAATAGACATAGTTTTGAGCAAGAGATAAAAGCATTGACAGAGATTAGGCACCGGAATGTAGTCAAATTATGTGGTTATTGCTCCACAAAGGGTTCAATGTACTTGGTCTATGATTACGCTGAAAAGGGAAGCTTGGGGAAAGTGCTGTACAGTGAAATGAGCTCAGTGGAACTAGAGTGGGAAACAAGAGTTGCTATTGTAAGAGGGTTAGCTCATGCAGTTGCTTACTTGCACCATGATCGTACTCCACCCATTGTTCATCGTGACATATCCATAAATAATGTCTTGCTTGATTATGATTTTGAGCCTTGGCTATCAGATTTTGGCACTGCAAAACTTCTTAGCTTGGATGCATCCAACTGGACTTCAATAGCTGGTACATATATGGCCCCAGGTAAATCTTATTCCTGTCTCGAAATTACTTGACTATTCAAAAACTGTCATGATTCTTATCTTAATGACACAAGACTCCTAAGATTATACACTCATAAAAATTGATCATGTGTATATGATCAATTTTCATTAGTTTCTGAAATCTGGTTCTCTGAATTACAGTAACTATTTCAATGTCCTGTTTACAGTATCTCCTTGTAACTAGGTTTTTAAAAACTAGACTCAAATCGTTTACTGCATTAGTGTTCAGTCATTGTCCTGTATTTGATATCAGTATGCATCTGCTTAAGGATTATACTCTTGCAGACGTAACTTTTGGAAGATAATTCGGTATATGCTGCTATCATTTATTCCATTTCTTTTGGTGGTTGCAGAACTTGCTTTGACAATAAAAGTGACAGAGAAGTGTGATGTATATAGCTATGGAGTAGTGGCTTTAGAAGTTATGATGGGGTAGCATCCGCGAGAACTTCTAACTTCATTATCGTTTTCAGCTACAAAACACCAAGTTTTGTTGAAAGACATTTTAGACCAACGTATGTCACCACCAACAGGTCGAGCAGCAAAGGAAGTGGTGACAGCAGTCAGATTAGCTTTGTTATGTGTTAGTATTGAACCAGCTTCAAGGCCTACAATGTGCTATGTGGCTCAACAATTGCCAGCTCGAACAAACAATCAGATATCAGAGCCTTTTGGAGCCATTACACTTAATTGTCTGTTAAATCATCAAAGATGAATGAAGAATCAAAAGAAGACAGTTCGACTTTGGTAACTGGTTTCGTGTTACTCGTAGTCTTTACACTGGCAACTTCCTTTATAATACAAGCTGCCTTGTTGCACTTTCTTCAATCAATCATCCCGTTAGACGTGTTTGTTTTTCCACTTACATAGATTGGTTGCAATTGTATAACCCGTCAACCCAAGAATACATACTTCTTTAGTTTGAAAGGCATTGTAAATATAATCATATCTTGTGACAATCTAGTACACTGAAAATCATACAATTAATGATAATGTAGAGACATACATCTTATTACAAAACAAGTTAATGTAAAAACTTATAGCCCAAAGATTAAATGGAAGCATAAGAACTACTCCCTCCATCCCCAGTTGTTTGCCACATAGAAATATTTCACTTTATTAAGTTTTGGTTGAGTGAAGTTGATGAGAGAGAAAAGTGGTGGGACTTAAATATTTTTGTGGGAGTAAAGTAGTGGTTTCTATCACCCTATGTAGTATGTATAGTATGGAGCAATCTTTAAAGGACGGGTTAAAAAGGAAATTGGGGCAAACAAAAAAGACATAGTAATAAATAAAAGCTCATACAATGGGAGAATCATGACAGATATAAGTACTCAATGCATAATAAACTAACATAAACTTTATTAGTAAACCACCAGTTAATTTTTTAGACTCCACAATTCTAACAGGAATGAAGGCTAGAAGGCTTCCCCTCTTGTGTGGCTATCCATAAAATTGAATGTGTTTCAGTTTATTCTACTCCATCTGTTAATAATTAATTGTAATAATAGACAAGTGTAAGAACTTGAGAATTTAGGGTGAGGATCAAAATGAGATTTTACAATATTGCTCCTTAAGCACTATAGTTGAAGTAATGCAATTGGGGTTGATGGGAGAGAGATATAATGTAATGAAATCATAACATCAATGAGGTTAGTGGGATAGAGAATACAAAGTATTAAAATAATGTACAGATTCTTTTAGCAATGGGGAGGATATATTTTCTTTTAGCCATCTTTTTTTTTTATTTATTTATTTGTTTATTTTTTTAATTGCTAAATGAATCCTTATTGAGTATAATTTTTTAATACATTCACACATTTTAAATAAAGAGATTTGAAGATTTTCACTAGTGATTTATTGGGTAAGAACTTAGAAGAGCGCATCCCCATGTCTGCCGCCACTGTCCGGTGGGACAAGTGCGGTTCACTTTCTTCCAATCTTCCTTCTAAAATTGACCTAATACAAATTACTATGTCGTATTGGAGTTTACAGATCAGAATTGAATATATAGTACAACCTTTCCTCACCTTATGAAATCATTGTCTTTATAAATATTGATCATAATTAAGTATATTAAACATGGGTTTTAAACAAAGTATATAACGATGGTGCAACACGCGATATTGATGAATAAGATTGATTAATCTATATCACGTTTTAAAAAAATTAACATAATCTCCATTAATTGGTTTATAAACACAATTAAGGTCACAAAAAGAATATATACTATCCAACGAACACAATATATATCTAAAAGGGTGCTCTTAAATTAGCTAATAGATTCATCATGAGATTATATGATGAAGAAAACCTTACATATGAAAATAATTAAAATTACATGCAATTTTACAAATCAAACAAATAACGATAAGATCCAAAACACGTGATAAAGTGCAATTGGAGAAAAGAATGCAACTGTTTTTCATGAATATTTAATCAAACTAAAACAATTGCAATATATGCTTACGTGTGCCGCTCATAGATTCATTTACCTACCACCAATTCTATACAATAATAATTTGATAATAGAATAGACATACATACCTCAATAGATTAATTGCAATCATCATCACCGACTCATTTTTCTTGTAAATTGTGTGCATAGAGTAATGGTGCTGATAACGTGTTATAAAAATAGAGAAATAAAAGAAGAATAAAAGAGAAGATGTAATGAATAAAAGAATGCAACTGTTTTTCATGAATATTTAATCAAACTAAAACAATTGCAATATATGCTTACGTGTGCCGCTCATAGATTCATTTACCTACCACCAATTCTATACAATAATAATTTGATAATAGAATAGACATACATACCTCAATAGATTAATTGCAATCATCATCACCGACTCATTTTTCTTGTAAATTGTGTATATAGAGTAATGGTGCTGATAACGTGTTATAAAAATAGAGAAATAAAAGAAGAATAAAAGAGAAGATGTAATGAATAAAAGAATGCAACTGTTTTTCATGAATATTTAATCAAACTAAAACAATTGCAATATATGCTTACGTGTGCCGCTCATAGATTCATTTACCTACCACCAATTCTATACAATAATAATTTGATAATAGAATAGACATACATACCTCAATAGATTAATTGCAATCATCATCACCAACTCATTTTTCTTGTAAATTGTGTGCATAGAGTAATGGTGCTGATAACGTGTTATAAAAATAGAGAAATAAAAGAAGAATAAAAGAGAAGATGTAATGAGAATATATTGATTGCTTAGCTTCTCTTCACTTTTCACTAGATCATACAACATATTTATACATAATGAACAAAAATAAATATATACTTACCTCCGTTTTTTTAGTAGACACGTATTTCTTTTTAGGAAGTTTTTTTTAGTTGACATGTTTCCTTTTTGGGTAAGTTTTATACCTTGCTTTTTTAGTATACCCCACTTGTATTATCATTTTCTCTCATTCTCTCTCCTCTCCTTAATATGTGTGACTAAATTGAATGCATCAACTAAATAGAAACGGAGGAAGTATATAACAAAATTGAAATTATAACATATTATATCGTGTCTGATTCACTAAAATGGAACAGAATAATTATAGTATGTCGTATCATGTAGTATCTTTTAAAGTAATATTTAATATAATATATTAAATATAATACTTTAATATAAGTTATATTATACTACCTCCGTTAACAGTTATTTGTAACGATGGGACATTTTTCCTCTCTACTTTATGTCAAATTGTTGCAAATAACTGTTAACGGAGGTAGTATAAAATATATTATTTAATATAAAATATATTATAAAAATAATAAAATAGTGAGTATAGACAGACTAGTTGAGGTTGTATTATTTTGCCAGCATACAAAAGATGGTATTATTGATAGCAAATACTTGAGGTTGTATTATTTTGAACACATAGTTGATAGTAAAGATTATTTTAAGCCAATTTTCCTATAATATATTGAATAAAATTTGAATCTAAATATCCAAATAGGAAGAAAATACCTTTAAAAATGGAAAAAAAAACACACGTATAAAAAAAAAAAAAAAAAAACTAAAGCAGTGTGTGTTTATTTGTTTCTTTTAGTTTAAATTGTTTAGTGACATCTTAAAGGAAACAATTGAAGTATTTTTTATTCAGAAGGTTTAGCGCCATAAGTGTGTACTAATTATAAAAATTATCAATTAGTTAATCAGTTGATAAATGAATAAATGTATGGACTAAAACCATATTTCTTTAGTTCTGCTTATTGTCCGTGAAAGATCAAGTATGTGATATTGATGATCATATCATAGGATCACATTTCTATAAAAAGGGGTTATAATCCATCTATTATATCTATCATTTCATACTCTCATTTCTACAATTTTTTTTGGTATTTTTCTTACTTCTAGTAATCTTATCTCCCTTGTCTTTTTGCCTACTCGCCAACCATTACTTCCACAAATGTCACTACCGACTTAAGTAAACATAGAATAAAATCAAATAATCAACCCCTTTATAATACATACTAGCCGTAACCTATGGAAAAGATTATTGTGTTACAGATGGCATAAAATGTCACAACCATGTTAATACTTTCTCTGTTAACGGTTATTTACAATAATTGTACCTTTCGCGGAGGCCAATGCAAAACTTTTAAAGCATGATTATTGAAATATAAGGGCATATAATTAAGTATTAATCCTACATATAAAAAAAAAATAATTAAACAAAACCAGCACCACCACCGAAACCCAAAACCAGAACCACCACCAAAACCACCGACAACCACCAAAACCACCAAACCCGACGACCCTCAGAACCCGAAATACCACCAAAACCCAACCCGAACCCAACCTTCACCACCGAAACCCAACAAACCACCCGCGAACCTAGCAAACCACCAATAGAAAACCCTAAAAACCACCACACACCACGAACCACCCTACGAACCCAAACCACCACCTTTCGAACCACCACCCAAAACCACCACAGAAACCCAACAAACCACCCCACGAACCCAAAACCACCACCTTTCGAACCCAAAACCACTACCGACGCCACCCTAAACCACCCACCTTTCGAACTCGAAACCGCCTAACCCACCACCCACAAACCCAGATCCGAAACCCACCATTTCTCCATATCTGAAATTGAGTGTCCTTCTTTTTCAATTCATGAAAAGTGGTTGAAGGAGGAGAGAGAACGTTAATGTTGAAGAGGATGAAGATGGAGAAAATAGATTATGAGGGAAGAGGAAGAAGATGATGGAGGGGAGAGAAAGATAATGGGGAAGATGAAGAGATGATGAAGGATTGATGATTATTGAATGATATAAAATAAGTTTAATTAGATTAGATTAGTTTCTAATCAATTATGTTTTAAGTAGGTGATTGATGTTATAAAGTTTTAAGTAAGGGTGTTTTTGTAATTTTATTTAAAAAAATTACTAAAAATGGAAAGATTTGGGAATGTTGCAAATAATAGTTAGCACCCCTTTTGGGTAAATGTTGCAAATAACTGTTAACGGAGGAAGTATTTAAAGATTCACCATCCACGGGCTTTGGCCTAATGCATAGTACAACACTTGACAATTGAATGTCCTAATTTAACATGGTATGGAAATTAAAAGATAAAAAATATGTACAGTTTTGGAATTTAGAATGGCACAAGCATGGAGATTGCAGTTCATTTGACAAATTATCTTACTGCCTCCGTATCATATTATTTGTAACGATTAAACATTTTTAACTCATAATTTATATTAAATCGTTTCAAGGAATATGAAGCAGAGGTAGTATATAAAGCGCACATTGTAACTTAGTCAGCAAGTCGATGCAAGTTACATACTAAATCGTATGTTCCATTTTATTTTTCTACCCAGCAATTATAGATAGATTGTACAATTTTGCTGACATTATATTGAGAAGATGCATATCTATATCTATATATCTATATATTAT